CTTCTGGACCTTCAGTACTCTCGACTTCAAGAATGTAGCCTTTATAGCATGACCATCACTTTGTTCAAGTCAAGAAAATGATGCTGAAGACTGCACTGCCTTTGTCTGCATTGCTTGAACCTTTGTCTGTGTCAGGTCCTTCCTACTTGCTTTTGATGTAGGAACTTCAGTTATATTTGAAGAAGATCAGTATATCTTCAAAAACCACAACATTAAGAACAACTAAAAGCTGAGTTCACACTTGCTATCTATGGCAAGTTACTCATCTTCAAGTATGTCTAGTGGACATTCCATGGCCCTAAGTTCTCTGCTTAGCTACCACCACCTGCTTTTCATCTTTGGCCAGTACCTATTTCATCCACCTTGCTAAGTATCAGGCAAAAGAGACATTAACAGTGGAGAGCTACTGAGCCTGGGTGAAGTGAAGGAAAAAAAGTTAAGGTGCCCCTAAATCTACCCAAGTCCGGTTTTTCCTGTTCTGCTATTGATAAGCCTTCATGAAGGTCTGTGCCCTGGTTTCTAGTCAATGAGGACCTGCAGAACTGCTGTGAACTCAGGCCCCTCTAACCATCAGAGAAGTCCTACCCAGGACTTTCCTTGTCACTTAGGAACCATACCTAATGATAGGTGATTGGACCGGCAGGTGTGGCTCCATCCTCACAGCAAGGATAAATATGGTATCCTTTCTGATAATCAAGTGTCTTACAGCCAGAGAGCCCAGAAATTATGTGGCATGTTTGCCAGCCACCTTTTACTCACTTGATTGTGACCAGGTGACCAAGTGCTCTGTGAGAAGGTAGGAGATAAAAAGAGATATTTTTCATCTTTGGGCTTCATCTGTCTGCCTATATCTCATTCCAACACCTCTGCTCTCCTCCCTCCCTTCATCCCTGTCCCCTCTTTCTGTTTCTAAAAGCACTAGAACCCCAAACCAGAAAGCAAACAAATAGAAAAGCAGACTTTTAAATTTACTTCTCGTCTTGATAATATCCAGAGGGAGAGAGGGAAGCTATCCAGTGAGATAGACTTGCCAGAGTTTTCTGACCCTCTCCTCTTATGCCCCCATCCCCCAAACTCTCTTTCACAAGTCTCAGAAAGTTTAAAGGAAGACAGACCTAGGACTTTAGGGCTGACGTAGGTTTGGGTCCCATGGACTGGGTTATGAATTGTCCTATAGTATGCAGTGTTCTATTAGGTTAATCCCAGCCCCAATATTACCACCACCATCCCCGAAAACACACACTTCTTCCTCTCCACTAAGCCCAAATTTCAGAGAAACCTCCTAGATATTTCTTAAGCATAACATTCTGGAGAAGAATGTTATGAAAATGAGATTTTATTAGGAGTTAAAATAAATTATTTTAAATGATTAAGATAAAGCAAACAAAAAAGTCTAAGAAGTTTATTTATACCACCTTTATTCCTGAAATAATATGAAGATTTTGATTATACAGTGTTGAGAAGAAGATACACAAGATAGGTGAATTCTTTAATTGATCAAAGCAGCTATAATAACAATATGTGGGACAACAGTTATACACAATATTTTTAGTACTTAAACCTCCTCTTCTACATTCATAAAAGTATATAAGGTTTTCAGACATTTGCATAAGCACTATCTTTTCCATCTTTATGCCTAATCTAGCCATTTTTTAAAAATTTAATGTCATTCAAGCACAGGTTGGAGATGCTGAAGAGAGATAAGATGAACTATTTTCGATGGTGTCTGTTGTGTTTAAAATTCTATTTAAAAAATACTGAGATAATTATAAAGGAATTCAAAACCCGGTTGACTTTATGGACAGTTTTTTTTTTTTTTTGGTAGTATGTTTATGATGGCCACTTGTCTAACTATTGTTTAACTCAAGGAAACATCCTCAAGAGTAATTATAATTGATATGTAATGCTTTCATTTCACAGCTCCCTATGAGGCAAAGTCAACTAATTATTTTAAAGAGAATCCACTAAGATGGTCATATCTACTTAATTCTGCTAAACTTGTATAGACCGGATATAGATGAGTGGAGAAGAGAGAAGAATGGAGCTTTAATGGAAAGTTGCATTACTAAGGTGGTAGCATTTCTGCCGAGATTTTCAGGTTAAGATGCTGACTGCATCTGCAAGGAAAGTAAAAAAACATCACACAGACATATTGCTTGCACTTTACATACATCAGGGTATTTGAAAATTTTTAAGCGATTACCTATTCATTCACACACTCACTAACGCTATTTGCCAAATATTTCTGCCTCCTCTCTGGGCACCTGGTTGGTTGCATTTTACCATCTCTTTTATGTTAAGCATGACCATGTGACTTGCTTTGGTGAAAGAATCTTGACAGGAAATTATCAACGTCACATCTGGGAGAAAGCCGTAAGCGCTAGCGTGTAATTTGTCAGATCTTTACTCTGCCATTACACCCAGCTCTAGGTGAGGAGGTTCTATTAGCCTCATTCCTAGAGTGAAGAGGCATGGCACAGCGTTTCTCTCCTCCACCCCAAATCCACACGAATATGTAGCATGAATCAGAAATAAACCTTTGTTGTTTTAGGGCATTAAGATTTGGAGGTTATATAGCTGCTGCAGCATAATCTAGCCTACCATGACAGAAGCAACAACTTTTAGATTTTTTCTGTATGTTGAGTGTTTATGAATAATTGTGAGAATTTCACATCTTAATATGGGCCATTGTTTTTTGATGTCTATTTCTTGACTCTTTTTTGATTCTGTTATTTCCAATAGTTAATTTGACTTCAAATATTTGGAAACTCAATGCTATAAAGTCTTACATGATCATGTATGGATTTTAATATTACTTTGTTATATTGTACACATTTTTATTTTACACTTCATTGAAGTTATGTATTTTATCAATCAGTAACATATTGGTCCATCTTCTCCATATATTATATTACATAGTCTTATGGAGAAAGTGCAACATGTAATTAATCTTTATTCTTTTGGTGCAATTTCTAGAAATATGCATTTAATGTAACTCAATAAACTTTTGCTGAAAAGATACTGGAGATACTGCTGCTGAGGAGGAGGATGACCATAGGGATTTCGAGAAGAGATCATGGTCCAGGAGCATGCATGTTCAGAGTGACTGTGAAACAATTCAATTGATATGAATAGTTTACTGCCTATGTGTCTTACTATCTAAAATTAGAAGTTAGTTTCAAATACATAGCTAACAGTATTTTATATTTTAAAATTATACAGAAATACAAAAGGATGAGATAAATATGAGAATCAGCAAAGGATTTTGTGTTTCCAGGGGAGAAATGGTAAATGGCCACATATTATATCTTTATTATTTGCTGGGTGTCTTTCTCAGTGGGGATTCTTTGAGGGAAGTATATTTTAGTACTTAGAATGAAACCTTTGCCAACTCATATGTCACTGCCTTTCTGTTCTCACCAAATGATTTCATTTCCATTTTTTTTGGCATCAGAAAACAGGGCTTAAAGTGAAATTTTTGAACGTCATTATGGTCTGAGGTATTGAAATCACCGTTGATGCATATTTCCTGATGAGATTCTAATAAGTGAGGGATAATTCTGGCATTCCTCATCCCATGAACTTCTTAAGTATTCTCATCATATTCTCCATATTAGTGCTTACTGAATTTAATGCAATACATCTTTTAATACTATAATGTTAGAATGAATTCACATGAAATTTAGTTATAGCAATTAAATCTTAATTAATAGAATATCTTATAATTCTTCATATATTTATAATAAAAGCATCTCCAGTGATTTAGAGGCAATTTTTTCCTTCACGGATTTACATGACACATAGATCTACATGCTGATCCTGAAACAAATGGTAAAAATGAGCAAATGATAGAATTGTAATCATAGTAAACGTGGTGGATTTATTTATTCATTTGGTAGATATTTATTAAATGCTGATCCTGAAACAAATGGTAAAAATAAAAAATATTTATTAAATGCTGATCCTGAAACAAATGGTAAAAATGAGCAAATGATAGAATTGTAATCATAGTAAACGTGGTGGATTTATTTATTCATTTGGTAGATATTTATTAAATATCTATATTTTAGACACTATGATAAGCCCTATGAATATAGAGGTGAAAAATACATGGTCTCATTTTTAAAGAGCTCAAATCATAGCTGGGGATACATATTGATTATACATAGATACATATTGATTTTAGCTTATGATGAAGCTATATAGCAAAGAGATCTGGAAAGTGCTGCTGAAACAGAATAGAAGAGAAGATTAGTTCGAAGAACTAATGAAAGGGTCATGGAGGGCTTCAGAGAACAGGTAATATTGAAATTGAGCATTTTATACAGTATTTCATCACTTTGCTCTAATTAAAATATTAGAACTCTAGAGGATTTTACCATCATATTTACTTTGAATAACTAGTGAACTTTTCTCTGAAAATAAGTTAAGCTTAACTTTTATGCCATATTTATGCTTTGGGAAGTCGGGGGTTTTGACTTGAGATAATTATTTAAAATACTGAACAAAAGCAATAGCCATTCAGAATGGATGCTGACCATAGAGTTAGAACAGGGTGAGAAAGACTTTGACAGTGCCCATTAACTTTTTAATTATAGGATTATGGATAGGTTTTTGCACATCAATTTCTCATCTGTCAAATATAACCCATATTGAAGTTTTGAAGGAGACAACAGAGTGGCTTTGAACAAAGTCATTAGTTAGAAACTGTCCAAGTAAAATACTGACAATTCTATTTTCACAGGAATAATTGTGTTACAGTTGTTCTTGATTTCAATGATCATCTATCGTGATAATGTTGATGAACAGCCCTGGAGTGAGATGTCAGTATTTGACTGTGGCTGTTTGCAAACTCTGCTGTGATTACACTCAGTTGTTTAATTGCTTAATTTATCGATATTTTGCTGACATGTTTTTCAGCAACATTTTGTGATTGCAGATGATCATTTCTCTTCTGGCTCTTATCATATGTTTGCATTTAATTTGTCTGATTGCTGCAGGTGGAAACAATAGGTGATGCATACTGCGTTGCTGCAGGACTCCACAGAAAAAGCCTGTGCCACGCTAAACCCATTGCTCTGATGGCCCTAAAGATGATGGAACTTTCAGAAGAGGTGCTGACACCTGATGGAAGACCAATCCAGGTAATCCTCCCAACATTCTTGAGTATAATGCATATTTAACTGAAGGGACAAAAAAAAAATCACTTCTGAATTCTATGTACTGTAACTTACAGATCTAGATAAGTCAGATGTTCAAGGAGGATGAAGAATAAGTAGAAATAACTCATATATTCCAGGAATATGGTCTAAAATATGAAAAGGTGTGAAAAGCAAATTACTATGGAGGAGAAAAGGAGCCAAAGGATTAAACCAAGTGCAAGAACTTGATGTCAGTGACCAAGTCACCAAATACAAGCAAAAATGATGGTCAGAATCAGAGTCTAAGAGATGATCCAACAAAGAAACAAAAAGGCAAAAAAAGGAGGACCTGGGCAACCTCCTGTGCATAGTGTACAGGTATTCCTCATGAAGACTCAGGCCCCAGGGTTACTTTTGTAATTTATATGTGACAGAGCTTGGAGGCTAGAGCCCAGTAACTGAGGAAACTTTAAAAATGGAAACGTAGCTTCTGGCGTGTTGTCCTTTTTCTGTACTGATGGCTCTCTGCAACATAAGATCCACCTCTGGAAAAAGATTAGGTCACGTTAGGTCACAGAACCCAATGGATTCCAGAAGTGTTGTTACTATGAGTCCTTATAAACCAGAAATCTTAACTTTGAATTTAAGCGAGCTCTTCTATAACAGTTCATTAACTATGAATTAAACAAATAGAAGGAAAAAAGTCTCAAAGTGGGAGTACATTTCTAGTTTTAGCATTATGGCAAATTAGATACCTGAGTACCCCTTCTGATTAAAATTATTAAAATGCAGTGTTAAATATTTGTTATATATTTTTTAAAGACTATTAAGCACAACACTGAACTCATAGGAAAGAGAAAAATGTGCTAATCACATTATGTGTGTAGACTGAACAAAATTTAAGTGGTGAATTTAAATTAAGTGCTCTGTCATTAGCAGTGAGAGTAGGAAACCAGGAAACACTATTTCCTGCTTGGAGGAAATCAACTTCAATCCCATCTTCAAAGAATTTCCACAGATAAAGTACTCTGGGAAATGAGCAGCTAATATTAAAAAAACAAAACAAAGTAAAACAAAAACAAAAAGACACAGACTCACATAGGAAAACAAAGTACTATGGCCAAGAGCCAGCAGAAACAGTAGACGAGGAAAACAGATCTGGAGTGTTGTCAGATATCAAAATTTTCAGACAGAATCAAAATGACAACTTTTAATATAATTAAAGAAATAAAAGAGAAGCTTTAGAATGTGAGGGAGAAACAGTAGATTTGAAAAAGAACCGGAGAACTTCTAAGCAATCAACATAATACTTAAAGAAAAAAGAACACAGTTAGATGAGTTTTAAAGCAGATTAGGCATAACTGAAACAAAACAAACAAACAAAAATTAGTACACTGAAAGCTAGGACTAAAGAAATTACCTATAACTGAGTTCAGAGAATCAAAAATGGGGAAATATGAATAAGAATGTAAAATGTAAAATGTGTAGGAGACATGAAGGAGAGAGTGAGAAGATGTAATGTGTATATTCGGTTGGGGTTCCAAATGGAGTTAATAGAGGGAATGCAGAAAGGAAAAATTTGGGGAACTATTAAAAGTATTAGTCAGTCTTCAGATTCAGTAATCCTAAAGAATTCAACAAAAGATAAATCAGGAATCCAAAACTGAACATATCTTAATGAGACTGCGGTACATCAGAGAAAAAGACTTGATAAATGACCAAGGTAACATTGATCAGTGAGGAAAGGATGGGCTAGTCGATAAATGGTTTGGGGACAATTGGTTATCCATGTGGAAAAAAATATTAGAATTGCATCTCTATTCCATGAGTCTGCACATAAAGCAATTCTAGGTGAAAGGCCATACTATAAAACTATAAATTTATAATTAGGATTTTTTGACTTAGAGAACAGTTTTTTTTCTAAACTAGTCAGGTCAAATCATAACGGAAAATGTGTATAAATTTTACTACATTTAGATGAAAACCTTCCTGTTATCAAAGAACACCTATAGAGAATAAAAAAATAGTCACAAACTAGGAGAATTTTTCATAACACATTTAACCAATAGAAGTACTTTCAGTTAACCTTATCAGTAATCAGATTAATTTATATTGATAGCACCATAATATGTCATTCCCACCTACTAGTTTGGCACAACTTTGGAAGTCTGACAGTGACACTGTTACTGATGATCTG